GGCTGAGGCAGAGGCTGAGGCTGGGCAGAGGCAGAGGCTGAGGCTAGGCTGAGGTTGAGGCTGAGGCTGGGGCTGAGGCTAGGTTTCGGCTAATTTTTGGCTGGGACTTAAGCTAGGTTAGGCTGAGGCTTCGGCTAGGCTTAGGCTGATGATTAGGCTGAGGACGGTGGGGAAAGAAAGAGAGAGAGAGAGAGAGAAAGAAAAGAGAGAGAGAGAGAGAGGAGAGGGGAGGCAGCGCCGAGGAAAAGCACAGCGGGCATACCGCTCCGATACCAGCAGCAAGCTGACGACGCGCTCCGCCTCCCACAAAACAAAAACCGTAAAAACGCAGGGGGGGGGGGATTCGACACTTGAACCCTCTCCTGCGGCAGCGCGCGCAGGCGTGAGGCGGGCGAGTCCTCCTCCTCCTCCTCCTCCTCCTCCTCCTCCCTCCGCCTCACGTGTCTTCCTCCTCCTCCTTCCTCCTCCCTCCTCCTCCTCCTCCTCCTCCTCCTCCTCTTCCTCCTCCTCCTCCTCACCTGTCTTCCTCCTCCTCCTCCTCACCTGTCTTCCTCCTCCGCCTCACCTGTCTTCCTCCTCCTCCTCCTCCTCCTCCTCCTCCTCCTCCTCCTCCCCGCTCCAAGCCTGCGGCGCGGGATCGCATCAGGCCCGTCAGCGTCGCCTGCAGGGGCAGCCGGCACATGAGCCCGCCGATCTCCACGGGGCTCGTGTGCGCCCAGGCGCCTCGGGCCGTGGTTTCGGAGGGCCCGAGAGGAGCAGAATAGCCTTAAGTCGGGCCTGTCCCTCTACAGGGGGAATATGCAAACATAGTAAGACAAATAATATGGGGACTTTTTAACTATATTTTTGACCACTTTGGAATATGGTTTGCATATTTCCCCACATGTTTCGTGGGGTTTTGGTTTTCTTCTCTGCCGCGCCGCACCCGCGTCTCACACCTCCCCCCTCCCCTTCTCCTTCTCGCACAGCACAGCACAGCACAGCACGGCACGGCACGGCACGGCACAGCACAGCTCACCGCACAGCAGCACAGCACAGCACAGCACAGCACAGCATATCACACAGGGCATTCCTTCGACGCCACAGGGGGTGGGGGTGCGCAGAGGGTGGTCCCTCAGCGCGGCCTCGATCCGTGACACGCTCGCAGATCGTGGCAGGCGTGGCACTTTCTCGACACCACAGGGGGTGCGCAGAGGGTGGTCCCTCAGCGCTGCCTCTATCCGTGACACGCTCGCAGATCGTGGCAGGAGTGGCATTTTCTCGAAGCCGCAGGGGGTGCGCAGAGGGTGGTCCCTCAGCGCGGCCTCTATCCGTGACACGCTCGCAGATCGTGGCAGGAGTGGCACTTTCTCGACACCACAGGGGGTGCGCAGAGGGTGGTCCCTCAGCGCGGCCTCTATCCGTGACACGCTCGCAGATCGTGGCAGGAGTGGCACTTTCTCGACGCCACAGGGGGTGCGCAGAGGGTGGTCCCTCAGCGCGGCCTCTATCCGTGACACGCTCGCAGATCGTGGCAGGCGCGGCATTTTCTCGACACCACAGGAGGTGTGCAGAGGGTGGTCCCTCAGCGCGGCCTCGCCTCTATCCGTGACACGCTCGCAGATCGTGGCGCATTTTCTCGACACCACAGGGGGTGCGCAGTCAGCGGCCTCTATCCGTGACACGCTCGCAGATCGTGGCAGGAGTGGCACTTTCTCGACACCACAGGGGGTGCGCAGAGGGTGGTCCCTCAGCGCGGCCTCTATCCGTGACACGCTCGCAGATCGTGGCAGGAGTGGCACTTTCTCGACACCACAGGGGGTGCGCAGAAGGTGGTCCCTCAGCGCGGCCTCTATCCGTGACACGCTCGCAGATCGTGGCAGGAGTGGCACTTTCTCGACACCACAGGGGGTGCGCAGAGGGTGGTCCCTCAGCGCGGCCTCTATCCGTGACACGCTCGCAGATCGTGGCAGGAGTGGCACTTTCTCGACACCACAGGGGGTGCGCAGAGGGTGGTCCCTCAGCGCGGCCTCTATCCGTGACACGCTCGCAGATCGTGGCAGGAGTGGCACTGTCTCGACACCACAGGGGGTGCGCAGGGGGTGGTGGTCCCTCAGCGCGGCCTGTATCCGTGACACGCTCGCAGATCGTGGCATGAGTGGCACTTGCTCGACACCACAGGGGGTGCGCAGAGGGTGGTCCCTCAGCGCGGCCTCTATCCGTGACACGCTCGCAGATCGTGGCAGGAGTGGCACTTTCTCGACACCACAGGGGGTGCGCAGAGGGTGGTCCCTCAGCGCGGCCTCTATCCGTGACACGCTCGCAGATCGTGGCAGGAGTGGCACTTTCTCGACACCACAGGAGGTGCGCAGAGGGTGGTCCCTCAGCGCGGCCGCTATGCACGACGGTTGTCCAGGGCATAGCAGGTGTGGCACTTTCTCGACACCATAGAGGCTGCGCAGGGGGTGGTCCCTCACCGCGGCCGCTATGCACGACGGTTGTCCAGGGCATAGCAGGCGCGGCATTTTCTCGACACCACTGGGGGTGCGCAGGGGGTGGTCCCTCACCGCGGCCGCTGGCTGGCTCGAATCTGTCCTCGACGGAGGATAGAAGGCTAGGAAGAGGGAGGAGGTTCAAGCAATATGGCGTTGGATGACACATAGGGGAACATTCGCGACGAGGGCTGAGAACGCAGAATTGCACATATATTATAAACTTAAGCAAACACTCAATATTTAAGTTAAGTATGTGGGGTTCCTCGGTAGCGTAATTTTATTTTTCGTCGAAAATCCCCCTGTAGGGGGACACGCCCGACTTAAGATTAGCCGACGGCGAGGCGGGCCGATCGCGCGCGGTGCCCACCCCCGCCCCGCCGTCAGCGCCCCATGCTCTGGCCCAACCCGACCCAGAGCTGGGGCAGAAGCGGAAGCCAGGAGAGACGACACCACCACCACCACCACCACCAGCGCAGGGCGGCGCCAGGGAGGGTCCTCCTGGCGGTGTGCCCCCCCCCCCCCCTCTCGCTCGAGACATCCCCCTCTCCCCAGCTCGGGGAGGCATCGTGGACCCCCTGCCTGGATGTGGCCCCCCGTGCGGTGGTGTCGCCTTGACCGCGGAAGTCTTCTACGTCTCAGCCCTCCCCCTCCACCCTTCGCGCGGCCGCCCTCGTCTTAGCCCTTCTCTCTGGCGCGCCAGACAATGTGCACATCGCTTGCCCCGATTCGCCCCGCACCGGTGCGGATTGCCTCTGCCTCGCCGCCGACGAAAAAAGAAGCGGTGGTGTCACCTCTCTGGTCTCCCTCTTTAGGGGAAAAAAAGTGGTATAAACATAAAAACTCGGAGGTCCGCGCGGATTTCTCGGATCGGCGCTGGATCCCCCTCCCTGGCGCGCGGAGCGCGCCAGGGGCGGCGCTGGAGGCGCCGCCTGGGGGCCCCAGCGCCGATCCGAGAAATCCGCGCGGACCTCCGAGCTTTTATGTTTATGCCACTTTTCGTTCCCGTGCTCTTCCGACGGGAGGAGCAGGATCAGATCAGACCAGCCTGGCCCCGCCGCCGGCAAGTGCAGGGCACTCCAACGTCAAGTCGGGCCTGTCCCTCTATAGGGGCATTTTCGACGAAAAATAAGAAATACCCCCCAAATAGTAACAAAAATAATAAAAAAACAGTCTGGGGACTATTTCAAATATCTTTTTGACTTTTTCGGGGTATTTTACATTCTTCGTCGGACATCCCCCTGTGGGGGGACAGGCCCGACATAACTCCAACGTCGGGCCTCCCCTCCCCCCCACTCCATGATCCCCCTCCTCGCCCACTCTCACCCCTCCCCATCCCCGCCCCTCATTACAGTGCGGGCGCGACCGCGAGAAGCCCTCGCAGGAAGCCCAGCCCTGGAAACCCGCGCGCGGGGTGCACCCGAGAGGAACCCCGGAGCACCCTGAACGCAGCCGCTCCTTTTCCCGGCTGCGGCAAGCCACCGCGCGGCGCGCGGAGCGAAGAAGCCCAGGATGCCCTGACGAAAAGCAGTTGGCTTCTTGTTGCGCGCCCCCACTGCACCCCGCCAGCGTCCCCTTCCCCTGCCACCTCCCCGGCCTCTCCCTCCCCCCTCTCCTGCCTCGTCCGCCCGCTAGGTGCGGGCGCCGTTCATGTACTCGTTCCACAGCGCTTCGCTCTGCTCCTGGCCAGCCGGGTGGATGAGGCGCGAGGGGAGGGACGCGGGGGGGCGGAGATGCAGAGGGAGGGGGAAGGGATGATGATGAGAGAGAGAGAGAGAGAGAGAGAGAGAGAGAGCGAGAGGGAGAGAGAGAGCGAGAGAGAGTAGATCGAGGCAAATCCAGACAACTTGAAGTAAATCCGAAGATCTCCAGGATAATCTGGAGCAAATCGTGGACGCTCCAGCGGGAGTCGAGGGCAGCAAAGGCCGCCAAGCCCTTTCTCAACGAACGGCTCTCCGCCCTGCCACCCTGAGGGGGACGGATGGTGATGGCGGTGTATGTGCGCTGGTGATAGGAATGGGAAGGGCAACGCTCAGGGCCAAAGTCGGCGCGAGAGCTGTTGGCCAGGGCTATCCTGACGGCGAGGGGGCTCTTCCTTTCTCGGTTGTTCTGCTCCCCTGCTGTTCCATGCCAGCGAATACAAACCAGAAGCACACAGAACTACGAGACTCAACCAACAACAAGCACCCATGCAAACAGCATCAAATACTCATAATCGCGAAACAAAACAAGCAACAAATATCATGTGATGTCATTGTGGGCCAGCACGAGGAGCAGGAGGAGCAAGGGCGACGACGATTTGGAGGAGGAAATGCAAGAGGAATAGGAGTGAGGTGGACGAGGGGTGCGCGAGTAAGACTGGAGAAGCAGGAGTTACTGACCGAGGGCCGCTGCAGGGACACCGAATCTCGCGACGAGGCGAAGACATAGCAATTATGCGCTAGGAAAGGCGGTCGCGATTCCACATTGAACACCTCGTAGGATTTGGAACAAGGGGCAGGGTACGCATGAACATGTCATATACGTACGGTTTCTACAAAGACATGCTAGCCAAAGTTGACCCCAAACAATGCGTACCTAGCAACCTATATTGTGCACCCTACGAAGGGCCACCTATGTTGTGCAGTCTGTTGCTTACACTCTATGTTGTGCACCCTATGTTGTGCCATCAGCTGTGCGCAAACTATGCGGTGCAACCTGCGAGGTGCAACGTCTGCACTGCAATTTGTTGTTGTGTGCAACCGATGATCTGCAACGTATGTTGTGCCATCTGCCGAGTGCCATCTATGTAATACAACCTACTTTGTGCAGTAAAAATGGTCCACCTTATGTCGTGTAGCCTACGTGGTGCACCCTATGCTCTGCAACATAGGCGAATCAGTCGGTGTGACGCAATATGTTGTGCAACATATGGTGTGCAGTCTGTTGTGTGCGATCCACATGGTGCAATCTATGATGTGCGATTCATTTCTGTTCGCAGTGAACTGTCCACTCACCCGCAACTTGGTTTGCAAACCTCATGCGGCGGCGATTGCGATGAATGCTTGGCGTTGGTTGGTGCATCTCTGCGGTCGCGCCAGCCCGCGCATGCGCGCGCGCGCAGCGGCCAGGTAGTTTGGCGCGACCGACGAGGCCGCAGCGGGCACTTGAGTGCGAGTCGGCGGCTTGAGTGGGTGCGGTATCATTGCAACGTCCACACGTGTAGATACGATGACGATGACACTGGCGATATTGGTGACGACACTTGTACAGACGATGATGATGATAGTGGCGATGACGGCACCGATGCTGATCACGCCGACGACGATGACGACGTCTTCGCGTCGGTGATGAAGGTTTGGAAGGAATTCGAAATGCGCGCGCGGCTGACGCGCGAGAGTGGCTCGCATGGTACGATTTGATTCGGATCGTGCCACCGGCACGTGCGCAAGGGCTTTCGAACGATTTCGACATGCGCGCGCGCGAAGCCCGTTTGGTATCATTTAATTGAACATGTAGAAGAATTCTAGGTTGTCTTAAGAATTCGCAAGAACGCGCGCGCGCACGCTTTTGTTGATCAGTGTTGCGAAACCCTGTGATTTTGTATGTTTTTTGGATGCTCGATTGCGAAATCCTTCCGAACCTGGGAGTTTTTGAAGGATTCCGGCATGCGCGCGCGACGACGCGAGCGTGTGCACTTCGTCCCGTTTTTTTGAAAGGGATTCTCACGACGGCATGCGCGCAAGGGCGTTCGAACGATTTCGACATGCGCGCGCGCGAAGCCCTTTTGGTAGTATTTCCCCAATCAGAGCTTGCCTCTGTAGGGGTCCTAGCTGAGATGAGGTGGGTGGCCAGGGCCAGGTGCCCGGGTGCCCGGGTGCCCGGGGGTGCCCGGGGGTTCCCGGGGGTGCCCGGGGTGCCCAGGTGTGTAGCCGATTTCGGTGGCCGGGGCCGGGTGCCCGGGTGCCCGGGGGTGCCCGGGGGTGCCCGGGTGCCCAGGGGTGGTGCCCGGGTGCCCGGGGTGCCCAGAAGTGCCCGGGGGTGCCTAGCCCAATAGCCCTATATCCCTATAGCCCAATCGCCATATATCCCTATAGCACTATAACCATATAGCCCTATAGCCGTGCCTATACGACCACCCTTCGGGTGATAAGGAGGTTCGGGGGGGGGGAACCAACGTCTCACTCGATCGGTCTCACTATCGATCTCAGTATCGATCTCACTATCGGTCTCGCTCGATCGATCTCACTCGATCGATCTCACAATCGATCTCACTCGATCTATCTCATTCGATCGATCTCACAATTGATCTCACAATCGATCACATAATCGATCTCACATTCGGTCTCAATATCGATCTCACTATCGATATCACAATCGCTCTCACAATCAACGTCATCCTCATCATCCTCATCATCATCATCATCATCATCATCAACAACATCATCAACATCAACATCATCACCATCATCGTCATCATCATGAGGGCACCGTCATCATCATCATCATCATCATCATCATCATCATCATCATCATCATCATCATCATAAACATCATCATCAACGTCAGCATCATCATCGGGACAACATCATCATGATCATCACCATCATCATCTCATCATCAACATCATCATCATCATCATCATCATCATCATCGGGACACAGTCTTCGTCATCATCATCAGCAGCATCATCAGAATCATCATCATAATCGGGACACCATCAAGGACACCATCGTTCTCATCATAAACAGTATCATCAACATCGTCATCATCCTCGGGACACCATCATCATCATGATCATCGCATCATCATCATCGACATCATCATCAACATCATCATCATCATCATTGGGGCACCATCATCATCATGAGCAACACCATCATCAACATCGTCATTATCATTGTTATCATCATCGGGACACCATCAGCATCACCATCATCATCATCACCATCATCATCATCAGCATCATCATCGGAACACCATAATGATCATCAACATCATCATGATCAACATCATTATCGCCGGGACACCATTTCCATCAACATCATCATCACCAACATCATCGGAATCATCATCATCATCATCATCATCATCATCATCATCGGGACACCATCATCGTCATCATCATCAACATAATCATCATGAGCATCATCATCCTCATCATCGGGACACTATCATAATCATCGACACCATCATCAACATCATCATCACCTTCATCGGGACACCATCATCATCATCATCATCATCATCATCATCATCATCATCATCATCATCATCATCATCATCATCTCATCATCATCATCCTCGCGGGACACCGTGGGACACAGGCGGGACATCGCGGGACACCGCGGGACACCGCGGGACACCGGCGGGACACCGCGGGCCCCGCGCCCCGGATGAGAAACATTTGGTCCGGCCGCGCCTCAGCCACAGGAGGACACCGCGGGACACCGGCGGGACACCGCGGGGCCCCGCGCCCCGGAAGAGAAACATTTGGTCCGGCCGCGCCTCAGCCACAGGAGACTTTTTCTCGCCCGCCCACGCAGCTTCGCCTCGCACGCACGGCACGCACGAACACGAAACCGAAACCGATTCCCGGTGGGGGGCTCGCCGTTCCACTTCGATCTCACCCCCTCACCTCCGATAGCCCTATAGCCCAATAGCCCAATAGCCCAATAGCCCGATAGCCCCATAGCCCCATAGCCCTATAGCCCTATAGCCCTATAGCCCTATGGTTCTAAAGCCCTATAGCCGTATATAGCCCTATAGCCCTATAGCCCGAATAGCCTTATAGCCCTTAGCCCTATAGCCCTATTGCCCTGTAGCCCTATAGCCCCATAGCCCTAAAGGCTTCTAGCCCTATATCCCTATGGCCCCATCGCCCTATAGCCCTATAGCCCCATAGCCCTAAAGCCCCCCCCAAAATTCTTATTGGGGTTTTGCTCTGGTATCATTCCCAACCCTCCTTGGTTGGGTATTCGTTTTGAATAGAGCATTGTGGTCACGTTCCTTCTCCCGCCTCCTCCTGCCCTGTCTTCGCCGACGATGGAGGCTGCGATCTGTGAAACTGTCGCCACTTTCGAAGGCTGCTGGTGGGTCCTGCGGAGTGAGGCACCGCGCGGACCTGAGCGGGACCTCGCCGTCCCTGGGGGGCTGCGATCTGCGAAACTGTCGCCACTTTCGAGGGCTGCTGGTGGGTCCTGCGGAGTGAGGCACCGCGCGGATCTGAGCGGGATCTCCCCGTCCCTGGGGGGCTGCGATCTGCGAAACTGTCGCCACTTTCGAAGGCTGCTGGTGGGTCCTGCGGAATGAGGCACCGCGCGGACCTGAGCGGGACCTCGCCGTCCGTGGGGGGCTGCGATCTGCGAAACTGTCGCCACGTTCGAGGGCTGCTGGTGGGTCCTGCGGAGAAAGGCGCTGCGCGGACCTGAGCGGCACCTCCCCGTCTTTCGAGGGCTGCTGGTGGGTCCTGAGGAGTGAGGCACCGCGCAGATCTGAGCGGGATCTCGCCATCCTTGGGGGGCTGCGAGCCTCACGAATGCCGCTCGCAGAAGAATATGCGCCCATGTCACGTCATCACCTCCGTATAACGTCTCCCAAGCTACTCATGCCCCGCATTGCGCAGGGATTGGGTACGTCGCCAGGGTAATTTCTTGAACACGTCGAAGAACGCATGGCTTTCTTAAAAAATCGCGGGAACGCGCGCACGCTCTTGTTGAAAATCCGTGTTGCGACACCCTGTGTTGTTGTATGATGTTTGGGCGTTCGGTTTTGAAATCCTTCCGAGACCGAAGGTTTTTTGAAGGATTTCGGCAGCGTGTGCACTTCGTCCCATTTGTTGCAAAAAGGATTCTTGAACACTTGTGATTTTTGATGATCGAATGCGTGCGCATGTGATTTTTTGCAGAGGATGGCGGGAAAGGGGGGCCGATACTGGCCTGGCTGGGATAATATGAACTCACAAATGGACATTGGGTCGGAATCATGTGTTTTACATCGGTTCCCGGGGGGTGGATAAGTCCAGGGGGTGAGGGTGGTAGAACCGATTTTTCTTTGAGAAAGGAGAATATATGCGGTGCAATCGATGTAATGCAAAAGGCGTGGTGTAGCCGGTGTGGTGCAACACATGTATGGTGCAGTATTTGTGTCTGCGATCTATGTCGCGCAGTATGTTTGGTGGAAATTGTGCGGTGCAACATACGCGGTGCAATCTATGCAAAAACAGCTGTTGTGATGCAATCTACGAAGTGCAATCCACTTTGACTGTCTTGAAGCTGTCCTCTCCACTGTTCGTGCGGACATCCCACCCACCCACCCGCAACTTGGTTTGCAAAACCTGTTCGGACCGACTAGGACGACACCGACGACAACGACTAGGACGACACCGACGAATTTCTCCGACAACTTCGACGACGACAACGACGACGACGCCGACGACGACGAAGACGACGACGACGCCAACGAAGGCGACGACGAGGGAGGAGGAAGGACGACGACGGCGACAACGACGACAACGACGACAACGACGAGGGAAGAGGGAGGACGGCAACGACGCGAACGACGACGAAGGAGGAAGGACGGCGACGCCGACGACGATAACGACGAGGGAGGAGGGACGACGACGACGACAACGACGACGACGACGGCGACGAAATAGGAGGGACGACGACGAGACGCCGACGACGGACGACGACGACGACGTGGGAGGAGGAGGAAAGACGACCACGGCGACAACGACGCCGGAAACGACCACGACGCCAAAGAGGACGACGACGACGAACACGAGAAAAGACAGAGGACGACGTAGGCGACGACGACGTCGACGACGCGGGAGGAGGGAGGACGGCGACGACGACGACGACGACGCAAGAGCGCGCGCACGCTTTGTTGAAAATCCGTGTTGCGAAACCTTGGGTTTTTGTGGGTGTTTTGGACGCGCGATTTCGAAATCCTTCCGAAACCGATGGGTTTTGAAGGATTTCGGCGTACGCGCGCGACGACGCGCGCGTCTGCACTTCGTCCCGTTTTTTGCAGAGGATTCTCGCGACGGCACACGCGCAAGGGCGTTCGACTGATTTCGACATGCGCGAGCGCGGCGCCCGTTTGGTAGCATGTTGTGAAAATATTGGAAACAAAACAATGGTTTTCGTAAGATTTCGCCAGAGCTCGCGCGGGAGCTTTTTTAGCAAATCAGTGTTGCGAAACCCTGTGTTTTTGTATGTTTTTTGAAATCTCGATTGCGAAATCCTTCCGGCACCGAAGGTTTTTGAAGGATTTCGGCATGCGCGCGCGACGACGCGCGCGTGTGCACTTCGTCAAATTTTTTGCAAGGGATTCGTGAACAAGTGTTATGTTAGAACCAAAAATGTCACCGCATAGTGTTTTTCAAAACAGAAAGGAACCTCAGGGGGGGGGATACCGGTTTGGCTGGGATGATATGATTTCATATTTAGGATGGACAAGTGTGCAGAATATATATCTGTATATATATATGAAATTATATTATCCCAGGGGGAAGCGTTAAGTCCAGGGGGGGTAGAGTCTGTTCTCTTTTTAGAAAGGAGAATATATATTGTGCCATATATGAGGCGCAATCTATGTACCGCAACGTATGATATACAGCGTACGTGGTGCAACCTCCGTGTCTCAGTATACGTTATGCAACATATGTTGTGCATTGGCGTGGAGAGAATTACGTGGTGCAGTATAGGTGATGCACTCTGTGTGGTGCAACATGTGTGGTACAACGTACATAGTGCATTTCACGCTGTGCAACTCCTTTTTGTTCGCAATGGGTTATCAACCCCACTGATCGCGCAATCATCCCACCCACCCACCCGCGACTTGGTTTTCAAAACCCACGCGGCGGCGATTGCGTTGACTGGTTGGCGCTGGCTGGCGCGCGCGCAAGCTCGCGCGCATAGCGGCCACTTACTCCGGCGCGACCGACGCGGTCGTGGTGGCGCTGACCGCTGGGGATTCCCCAGCACGTGTCGCAGGCCGCGCTGACGCGATAGCACCTCAGTGCGAGTCGGTGACTCGGGCGGGCGCGGTATGAAGGCGACGCCGACAACTGCAAACACGATGATGACAATAGCGATGATGACCACGGGCGACGATGGAGATGACGACGGCAAGGCCAATGACGGCGCCGATGCTGATTACGCCGATGGCGATGATGGTGTCCATGTCTCGGGGGTGAAGGTGTCGAAGGATTCCGACATGCGCGTGCGAACGACGGCGCGAGTGTCCCGCCTTATATTCTTCGGCAGGGGTCGTGCCCCCCCCAGCGCGCGCGCAAGGGCGTTCGCATGTTTCGACATGCGCGCGCGAGAAAGGCATGTTTGGTAGTATCGGATGAACATGTTGGAAAACAAATGTCGTTCGCAAGATTCAGCAATATCGCGCGAGCAGGCCTTGTTTGAAATATCATGTTGGAAAACCATATGTTGCTATCTGTATATATATATATCAGATCAATCGGTGTTAAACCCGTTACGACATCGAGAACAGTTGAAGGATTTCGGCATGCGCGCGCTACGACGCGCGCGTGTGCACTTCGTCGCGCTTATTGATTGCAAGAGACCACTGAAAACTGCAATGTTCAATGAACGCGCGTGCGCGCATAACATTTTTTCACGAAGACGGTGGGGGGGGAACCAACTTGGCTGGGACGTTATGAATTCAGAATCTAGAAAGAATGGTGGAACATAATCATATGTAACTTGCAGAGCCCCAGGGTGCATCGATAACCATGGCCTCGGAAGGGTGGTAGATCCGAACTCCTCTCTAGACAACAGAATCCAAGCTGTGCAATCCACGCGGCAACGGGATGGGCGGCGACGAAGCGACGACGGGGCGGCGACGGCGGCCATTTTGCCGCCAGGCCGACCGTCACGCCATGACGACGGGCGGCGACGAGGCGACGACGGGGCGGCGACGGCGGCCACATAGCCGCCAGACCGACCTTCAGGCCCAGCTCCTTAGAAAACAAGTGAGAAAGCCTAGGCGCAAGCACTGTTTGGGGAGTAGCACATGCATTATGACACGTGAGGTTCCCTTTGGGCAACTCCAGAGATGGCCCTAAACCTCCCAAAACCAGCCGAAGAGGCCCGCAAGAAGGGCCTAGCCCCAAGATGGGCAACCGCATATCACGACTCTGTCGCATCACTGGAAGCTAACACCTCCAACATGATCCCGAGACCCCAATCAGGCCCACAAGAGGCTCCAGGACGCACCCAAATGGGCCACCATGGCCCCCCAGGAGGCACCCAAGAAGCTCCCGAAGATCCCCCCAACTGTCCCCACGGCTTCTGGAACACGACCCAGGCGCAATGGCGGCGGGATGGGCCGAGGACAATTCGAGTTCGCCCTCGCATAGACGCCGCCACGTGCCCCCAAACCTTTCACTTCTGAAGGGGCCCCAGGACACAACTAAATACACACAAATAAAAATATTCCCCATACTTTCCAATACTTTCTGGGTTTTTGTCTTCCCCACCACTTCCCATATTTTCCCATATTCTCTGGGGAATCGACGGTTAATTGTGTCTGTGTGTTTTTTCCCTCCTGAACTTCCTATGGTCGGCGGAGATCGGCGGAACCCGCCGCAAGGCCTTCGCAACAGCAATAGAGGTGCTCCTTGAGCAGCTCCAGGTTCCTGGGCGCGACTGGCCTGGACGACGCAGCGGCCGCGGCGCTGCCCTCGACGCTCGCCGACTCGCCCGCCTCGTCCGTGGTCACCGGCAGGCCTGAGCACGGAGGCACATCCCCCCACTTGGCGAGGAGAGGGGGAAGAGGTGGACGAAGACGTGGAGGAGCCTGGTTGAAGGATGACTGCGATGCTGGTGACGATGTTGATGACTGTAAAATGGGCCGACAACGATTGCGAGCAATGAAGATAAAAGGGGGGCGATGATGATATGATAACGCGGGGAGGAAGATGGGTACACTCCCTCTCTGGCTCTCTACTTGGGCTGGTATGTAGCGGTGGTGCGGTTGACCGCCCCTCTCAAAGTATCGTTCCTCCTCCTTCGCTGCTTCCTCCTTATCCCTTTGCCTCCCTCCTCCCTCATCCGTCATGACATTATTTCCAGTCCTTCTCCTTACAATCATAATCATCCACCTCCCTCCTCTTCCTCCTTTTTACTTGTACGCCTGCGTCCTTTCCGCACCAATACTCCATCTTCCCGCCTCCCATCTCGTTCACATCGTCCCTCCTCATCATCATGTGTCATCGTATTTACCCTTCGTCCCTTTTTCTTGTTCTTGGGCTTGCTGCGAGGCGCACACAAACCTCACCCTCCTCATCTTCCACGAACATCCTCCTCTTCTTCCTCCGTTCCCTCCTCGTCATAATCCTTCACCCTCCTACCCCGCCTCGTCCTCCTCGTCCACCTCCTCCTCATCCCTTTCCTCCTACCCCTTCACCTCTCATCCCCCTCATCCACGCCCCACCCCCCACCCACTCACCCCACATCCCACACAGGAGAAGAGCGACAAGGATGAGAATGAGGGGGAGCGAAGAAAGGCTGGAATAGGAGGACGAGGAGGCAGATGCTGAGGGGAAAAGAGGAGAGGAGAGGAGGAGGGGGGATGAGGTGGAGGGGTACGAGGCGGAGGAAGATGAAGGCAATCTGTGGGGACTGCGGCATCGTACCCTTGACAGGTCGTCAAGCACTTCATTTATGCGTGTTCCCAGCGCTGGCGTCTCCGCCGTACGCTTGTCTCCTCGAGCTTCGTCTGGCGTGCCTCGTTCCGTGTGTGAAGGTGCACAGGCCTGGACCCGAGACCGAACACACTGCAAGCAGAGCAATCAGACACGCGCGTGCAAAAACGCGCTGCGACACGTTGGGCGCCCGAGTTATCCGGGGTAACTCGGGTCCGGGGTAACTCGGGTTTGGATTCCCGGGAAAGGAACCCGAGTTAGCCCTGACCCAAGTTACCCCTGATGATTCGGGGGCTCTGGAAGCCCGAGTTATCCGGGGTAACTCGGGTCCGGGGTAAGTCGGGTTCGGATTCCCGAAAAACGAACCCGAGTTATCCCTGACCCGAGTTACCCCTGATGATTCGGGGCTCTGAACACGGGTGGTGCGTCGCGCGGCATGCGTGTTGAGGCTCGAAACCTCACATGCCTTTCGTTCATCCCCGCGCGGCAGAGGCGATCCGCACGCGCGCTCGAGTTGACCAGAAGCGGGCGAACGAATTGTCTGGCAGCACGATGGGTTGGGGGCGGAGGGCAGCCGCAGAGCCGGGAGGAAGAAGGCACTGAAGGGGCCCCAGGGCACACAAATAATTACACACAAGTAAACAGATTCCCCGTACTTCCCCATATCTTCTGGGTTCCTGTCTTCCCCCCCACTTCCCATATTTTCCCATATTTTCCCATATCTTCTGGGTTCCTGTCTTCCCCCCCACTTCCCATATTTTCCCATATTTTCTGGGGAATCGAGGATTAAATTGTGTCTGTGTGCTTCCTTCCCTCCCTGCGGAGGGCAGCCGCGGAGCCGGGAGGAGGAGGGTGCTCCCTGCGCGAAGGCCCTTCGACGGGAGTGGCCGGTGCGGTCAGCTCTTACCAGCCTCGAACGTATCCCTATCCCTAAGATTGACACGCCAAAAGGCGATGACAATCTCAGGGATTCGCCCTCAAAAAATAAGGGAATCCCCAAGATTGGCATCGTGATGAGGAGGTGCCCAGCATAGGGATAGGGATATGTGATATGTTCCAGGCTGGTTAAGGCTCGTGCCGAGCAGCCTGGCGGCAGTCGCGGAGCGGCACCGCGGCCACATCCAGGGGCTGAGGCAGGGGCTGCTCGGGCGAAGAGGCCTATGCACATGCACCGATCCTGGCAAGGTCCATCCTTGACCCAGGATCGGTGCATATGCCTTCCTGGCCAAGGTAGGAGGGCGTATGCACCGATCCTGGGCTCAGGATGGGCCTGGCCAGAATCAGTGCATGTGCATAGTTCTCTTCGCCCGAGCAGGGGCTGCAGGCGCGGAGGGCGCAGCTCGAGGGGTGGCAGTGCGGGAGGAGTGGCGAGCGGGCCCACGGCAGCGAGAGCGGGAGCCTCCGGGCGTTCGACACGTCGCCGCGGGAGCCAGCACCAGCCGCAGGGGCACGGCGTGCGCGCGGGATGCGGGCGTCGCCCAACGACGCCGGCAGGCAACGGAGGCCGGGGATGAGGCCCGCAGGTGCGGGCTCCCCCAAAGTGGCCCGCAGATCTGCTCACTGTCAAGCGACGATAGCAAGGACTGTGCTCGCGGAGAGTGCGGGCCCCCCAAAAAATAACCGCACATCTGTTCACTCTGAACAGGACAGGGAGACGGCCGTGGGCCCGCGAAGGGTGCGGCCCAGGAAAAATGCCCCGCTCATCTGCTCACTCCAAGCGGACACGGACAGAGATTGGGCCAAAGGAGAATGCATTCCCCCCAAAGAAGCGCCCGCACACATGCTCGCCCGCAGCAAACAAAGGGCGGGGATTAGGCTCGCGGAGAGTGAGGGCCAACAAGATGGCCCCTCCATCTGCTCACCCCAGCAGAGCAGGGAAAGGGCTTGGCCCGCGGAGGGCGCGGATCAAAACAGCACGGCCCGCACATCTGCAAGCGGGCCCGCCGAAAGTTCGGGCAACAAAAACTGGTCCGCACACCTGCTCACTGTGGGCAGACAAGGGAAAAGGGACGGGCCCCCCCAGGTTAAAACAAAAATCTGGCTCGCACGCTTGTTCGCTCAAAGCATTCCAAACGCACTGGGGCCAGCGATTCCCTCCCTTTCCAGAAGGTGCCAGCGAAGGAAAAACTGGCCCGCAGATCTACTCACCTTAAGCGAGTGGGGCAAAGACTTGGGCCCGCGGTAGGTGCGACCAAACCACACAACGTCCCGTACGTGCCCCCCCCCCGCGGACCAAGGGAACAGAAAGGGCCCGCCCATCTGCCCACTCTAAGCAACGAGGGACAGGGATTGGGCCCGCGGACAGATCGGGCCAACAAGCATGACGCGCAGATCTGGTCAGCCCAAGCATAATACACAAAACAAAACACTGGGCTCGCGAAAACTGGCCCGCACATCTGCTCACCATAAACAAAGAGGCGCGGATTGGTCTCGCGGAACAAAAGCACGGGCACAAAAATGGTCCGCACAAAAGATTGGGCTCGCGGATGGTGCGGGCACATCCGCTCACCCTGAGCGAAATGGAGAAAGAATCGGGTTCGCGGGGCGAGCGAGCAAAGCAGGTCGCGGCCCGCAGACTTGTTCACCCTATACACCGCAAGCGCGCGCCAAAGGCGTGGGGACCCTCCTTCCGCAGGCGCGGGCACACATCGCGCTGTCCCGCACATCTGCTCACCCGGGACAGGCGCAGCGATGACTGGGCCGCCGTTCCTGCAGGACCAGCACACGACAGGCCTGCACGCGTCTTGCCCCATGAGCAGCACGGGCGCACCATGGGGCGGTGGGTGTGTTTTTTGTTCCCCCCGCACGTGCCTTCGAACACACGTGGCCCGCACACGTGCCCACCGCAGGCAACGCACAGGAAATGCACTGCCTGGGCCCGCGGCAAGGAGGAGGAGGAGGAGGAGGAGGAGGAGGGTGGGCAGACAGCACGCACAGGTCCGCCCGCCTGCGCTCTGCCAGCAGGCAGGGAGCAGGGAGCGGGCAGGGCTCGCGGAGAGAGCGCCCACCCCGAGGAGCCCCAGCGGCCCGCGGGCGCGCGCCGAGGGAGGCCCATCGCCGCCAAGCCCTCCCAAACTCCTCCCTCCTCCCTCCTCCCTCCTCCCTCCTCCCGCCTCCCTCCTCCCTCCTCCTACATCCTACCTCCTCCCTCCTCCTCCTCCCTCCTCCTCCTCCTCCTCCTCCTCCTCCTCCTCCTCCTCCTCCTCCTCCTCCTCCTCCTCCATCCTCCCTCCTCCTCCTCCTCCTCCTCCCTCGTCCTCCTCCTCCTCCTCCTCCTCCTCCTCCTCCTCACCGCCAACCTTATGATAGCGGCCAGAAGGCAGGCGCAGCGTGAACTCTGTTGGCGGGGGGGAGTACAAGGGGGGGCGCAAGAGGAGGGGGGGCCAGGAGCTGAGGCGAACGAGGGGGTGGACGAGGAGGCAGGGGTGGTGATAGGGGGAGGAGCAGCAGAAACAAAGAGGGGGCGGATGAGCATGCCACGGTCCCCTCCCGAATGTTTGCCCGTTGCTGCCCTTTTCAGAACGATCTTGCGCATAGCAACATGCAAGCTGGAAATGAGGATGATGACGGGGAGAAGGATGCTGAGGAGAATGAGGGGGAGGAGGGGAGGAGGAGCAGGAGGGAATGTAATACAAATGGAATGGAATGGACCGATCGCGAAGCGATGAAACGTGACCCACACAGCAGGCCAGAACATAGCGCTCGGCTTGGTAAGGGCTAATAACTGCCATTTCCCCTCGTGAATTCTACGGATGTAAGATTCGCGCGCAGGTGTGGGGGAGGCTAAACACTCAGACCCAAGAACCCGAAGCTGCACCCTCCCATAAAAAACGCGAGTGCTGCAGAACCTGAGCTTGATACTGGTATGATACATGCTATGGCTAGGATGTGTGACACCGCCCCCCGATCTGTATGAACTGGCACCTCGGCAACTTCAGGAAATCCAAATTCTGCTACGGGATAAACTCCAAGCATTGGCCAGCCTTCCACTTTGTGAGGGCGTACCTGGCGGCGTTGCCTTCACACCGCCGACAACATCGCGCATCGTCAGAGAACTGGTGAACTGTTGATCCAAGCAGACAGGGCCAATGCAGTAAGGGAGGGTGGAGGGCGGCGTTCGCTTTGTTACAGGGGCTTCAGTTATTTTCAACAGGAATTGAATCAAGGCTAGCTCGAAGCAAACGTTTCCTGACAAAGCTGGCCTTGTGCTCCGCCATTGTCCCTGTCACCTCTGCAACCCCCTTCCTGCCCTCCTCATCCTCTTTTGCCTCCTCCTCCTCTTCCACCTCCTTCGCTTGCTTCATGGGTTCGGAAATCGTGAATTCAGCAACGGGCAGCAACGCCCGCAGCGGTACTGGTGGCTGCTCCTGCAATTGACGCCCGACCGCCTGGGCACCCAACATCCCGAGAGAAAGAGCAACGTCTCAGAGTCCTCCTGCTCCTGGTCGGCGACAAGGGCGAGCGCGATGCCAGGTCTCCCAAACTCACGCATCGCGCCCCGCGATGCGCGGTGATCTGCGCGACCTCGCGCCCCCCCCCCCCCCCCTCGGCGACTCCGAAGGTCGGGGGTGGCCAGGAGGGGGGCGGCCAAGGGGGTGGGGCGCAAATCATGGCCGGCAGCATGTGCGCGGCCCCCCGGGCGGCCGGGGACGGAATGAGATAAGATGAGGCGCCATGAAATCTAGGGAGATATCATGGCCCCCGCCATGATATCCCCACCCCCCAGAATCATCACCCCCCTCTTGGCCGCCCCCGAAGGGTGTGGCTTGCAACCCGCGCCTGGGGGGGGGGGGTCGGGCGAGGACCTCGGCCGAGATCTCTGCCGCGCCCAGCCGAGGGCTCATCAAAGTGTTGGCGCAATGCGGCGACCCCTCAGCTCCAGCGGCGCCGATCGCAAACCGCACCACGGCGTAACCATCGGTCGGAAGAAGTAGGTAGAAACTTGAAGTAGGAAGGCGTTCAAAATAGATGGGGTTCGGTCCGCCCCCTCGGGAGGACGGGAAAGGCGAGGCCACTCGATCATTGAAGCAGGAAGGTGCTTAAGGTAGACTGGAAGCTGGGACTCCAAAAACACCTACTTTGAACGACCGATATGTAACCACACCCTTTGTAATCACCGACCCCTACCCTCTTGGGAGAAGGCCAGCCCTCTTGCACGGGCCGGCGGCGCGCGAAGCGCGAGGACCTCCGCGCCCGTGCGGGCAACCGAGCAGCCGGGGCGGGGACGGACGGGCCTGAGGTGATGAGCTCCTCGTCGAAGGGTCACCCCCACATGCAGTCCGAGGACTAATATTAAGGGGGCCGGGGCCGAGGCAGACGGGCCTGAGGATCTCAGCTTCTCATTTTGCAGGGTCACCCTCACGTGCGGCCGAAAGACTCGTGCAAACGAAAATTTGGTTTTCGGGCCGTACCTCGGCTCTCTGGCGGCCGTTCGTGACGATCCGGGCACCCCCGGAACGCTCTCGACGAGGCGAGGCTGCTGGAAAGCGCCCCGAGGCTGGAAAACATTGGCGCGCCCACGAGAACTCCGGCAAACACTCGACGGAGATCTTCGGAGATCTGGGCAGCTATCAGCGCGGCCCCGCCGACTGAAACACCCACTTTCAATGACCGAGGGGTATGTTGGTGGGCCTATACAAGGGCTCCCAACTTCGCGCTTCGCGCTCCGCGAAGTGCGAATAACTTCGCGCTCTCGCGCCGCCTCCCAGGGGAAGCCGAACCGCGAAGCGCGAATAACTTCGCGCCCTCGAGGGCGCCCTTGCTATACGAGCAAGTCGGGACGCTTCGCCAGCGCTCGAGCCGGGGGGCGCCAGCAGGCGGGCCTGAGGAGATCAGCTGGGCGCGGAAGTTGCGCCAGTCCGCGGGCGAGGGGCCGCCGCCGCCTGCCAGACGGGCAGGCCGCCAACCGCTCCGAGCGGTCGCCGCTCCCCCTCCCCACCAGCTTTTCAATCCTCCTCCTCCTCGATCCTCCTCGAATCGAGGAGGATCGAGGGGTCCTCGATCCTCCTCCTCCTCCTCCTCTTCCTCCTCCTCTTCCTTCTCCTTCTCCTCCTCCTCCTCCTCGATCCTCAATCCTCGATCCTCCTCGCTCCTTGTTCCTCGCTCCTCCTCCTCCCTCCTCCTCCTCCTCCTCCTCCTACTCCTCCTCCTCCTCGTCCTCGTCCTTCTCCTGAGCATCACCATCATCAGAAACATTACCATCACCATCATCATCACCACCACCACCGTCGTCGTCGTCCTCCTCATCCACATCCTCATCATCATCCTCATCATCACCATCATACTCATCATCAGATTTATCATCATCATCACATCATACTCATGATCTGTATCATCAGGATCGTCAGCATACTCCCCTCATCCTCTCCTCATCTCCATCATCATCATCAGCAGCATCAACATCGGCATCAAGATTATCGTCATCACCGCTCCTCCTCCTCCTCCTCCTCCTCCTCCTCCTCGTTTTCCTCCCCCTCCTCCATTCCTTATCCTTGTGAACAACTCCTCCCTGTCGCACCCCGAGGCTGGTCGGAAGGGCGGCCTGGGCGTTTCGCCTTAGACTCCCTTGCAACGGATGAGCCGGAAGCTTCGCGTTGCCAGTCTCAAATGAAGGGCGGGTCGCGCACATTCGTTCCAACATTTGCAAGAACTTCAAGGATTTAGGGCGGGTCGTTTTCAAAGCGTGGCTCCCGCCATAGCGCCGCGCACATTCGGTAAACAAGTGCAGGAGCTCCACGGATTGATGGCGGGTGTTTTTTTCCATATGTGGCTCCCGCCTCAGCGGTGCGCAGACTTTGGAAAAATGGCAAGAGTTTCACGCACTGAGGGCAGGTCATTTTCAAAATGTGGTTCTCGCCATAGCGCCGCGCACATTTGTTCCGAAACATGCATCGAGAACGGGCGGCTTTCAACGTGCGGCTCTCGCATGTGCGCCGTGCGCATTCGTTCCGACAACTTGCAAAAGCTTCACGGGTTGAGGTCGGCTCCTTTTCAAAATGTGGTTCTCGCCTAATCGCCGCGCGCACCCTTCTAAACGGATTCTACCGGTTCACCTTCCACAAATGGTGTGTCTGGACGATGCAGGACTGTCAAGGCGTAACATTTACGTTGCTTCGCGGTGGTGAAATCCAAAAAGCGGTGCTCTGGCACGATTCGAGGTCGCCAATATGCAACAGTCCGGTTGACCCGGAAGTCCTGGAAATGAAATTATGGCACGCCTCCGGATTTTCATACGGTTGAATCCCAACGGGGCACTTCCTCCAGTGAAAGTAAATTATTGTATGGGGCCTGTAAGAAGGGCGCTTGGAGGGACGGTGTATCACGACATCGTTGATGAGTCTTGGGGTTGCACTGGTTTTCCTTCTCCTCCTCCTCTTCCTCCTCCTCCTCTTCCTCCTCCTCGTCCTCCTCCTCCTCCTCCCGCTATTTCCCGCCATGTGGCGCGCCATGAGGGTCTGCGCATAGAAGCGCAGCGCGGCGGCCGTCGGCCGCCGACAGAGGAGGGGGGGGGAGGAAGGCCCGCTTCATCGCCCTGGGGTGTTTATGGCCCGGAGAATAAAGAAAGAGACAAAAGGAGTCGGCTACACGTAAGAGTGACCCTGGGTAAGGGTGACCTTTGGTGCGCAGCTTCGGGGAGCCGCGGGGAGGCCAAATCCAGGCGCGCTAGCCGCTGCTACCGCTTCACGTTCGGCCATCTGGGGGTCCATCTGTGCTCGCACCAAAGGTCACTCCGGCGAAAGGTCACTCTTACGTCTAGTCGAAGGAGGAAGGGCCCGTTCGGCCCAACGCCGGCCGGCGAAGGGCCCGAGGGGCCGAGGGGCCCTGGCCTTCAGGCTCGGCGAGGGCCCACCCGCCCCGGCGGGGCCTAGCCCTCGCCATCGTTCGGACGTCCGTTCCCTGTGTTTTTTTCGGTTTCGTGCGTGGTTTTTTCGCCAAATTGACTACCTACCAGACCCCCCCAACCTAATCCGAAGACTCGAATTTCGGGTTGGGGGGGTAAGGGTTCCACACGTGTTTTTTCAATGTTTCCCGACCCCCCCCCACACTGGAAATCGAGGGTAAATCTGAGCTTTCGGGTTGGGTTGGGGTGGTTTGGTGGGTGGTGACAAATGATCAAGGATGCTCCTCGATGGTCCTCGCCGAAGAAAAAATGTACACGTCCGAGCGATGCCGAGAGCTAAACTCGGCCGCCGAGTCGGGGACGGCGGGGCCCTCAGGCCACGTCGGAGGCGGCGGGCCCGCCGGCGCCTGGCCTCCGCGATGCGCACCCTCTGGCCCAGCGCGAGGAGCTCCGCGTCGCGCCTGCCTCCGCCGACGTGCAGCCTCTGGTCCAGCGCCAGGAGCTCTGCGTCGCCGTAGGCCTGCGGGGGCCGCCACGCCTGGCCTCCTCGATGTACACCACCTGGCCCAGCGCGAGGAGCTCCGCGTTGCAGTCGACCTCCGCGATTTGCACCATCTGGCCCAGCGCGAGGAGCTCCGCGTCGCAGTCGGCCTCCTCGATAGCATCTGGTCCAGCGCGAAGAACTCCGTGTCGCAGTCGGCCTCCGCGACGTGCTCCTTCTGGCTCCTCCGCATACGAGCGCAAGAGCCCCGCTGGCTGCTGAGGCCTTGCCTTCGGTGCTGCTGGTTTGGTGGCGTGCGGGTAATGCGGTGGGTCGTTGTGGGTAGTGGTGGGCGTAGTGGCGCGGGTCGTTGTGGTTGTTGGTCGCACTCATGGCCTCCATGCAGCGACTTCAAGTGGGAGTCGCGGCGGTCCCACCTCGCCCCGCCATGGCTAGGGGTCACAGTGCCCTCGGCGGGGGCGAACCCCAGGCCTTGTGCCCGTGGTCGTGGTGGGCTGGTCGGGTTGCCCTCGCTTCGCCTTCTGGCGCTCGGGAGCGCCACCTTCGTCTGGGGATGTCGGGGGTGGCGAGCTAGGGCGGACCACGGGGGCGCGGGCGGTGCCCCCCCCCCCCCCACCCACTCACCCCCCTGCCCATCACCATCACCCCTGGCAGGCGCAGGCAGAGCTCGTCCTGCCTGCCCGCCCTTCGAGCCCGTCTCGAAGTTTGAACCTTGCCTCTCCAGGGCAATCGCGACTGCCTTCGTCGTTGCTGGGTAGGTTGTCGGGTAAGGCTGCTGTAGATGTCGTGCTGGCGGTTGTAATCGTTGCGGTGGCTCGTTCGTCGCAGTGTATCTGCGTGGCGTAGTCGTCTCCCTGCGTAGTAAGCCCGCACTATTCCGCGCGTGCGGGGCCATTGCGCGGCAGTTCGCATGTCCAGCTTTACATGGCGACGTGCCTGAGGCGTTCCCTCGCAATCGGGGCTTCCTCAGGACTTGCGCCCCAACGCCTTCCAGCAATACATGGCGGACGCATGCCCAGGGTGCTCCCTCGCATTCGGGCCTCCCCCAGGACTTAGACAAGCCCCGCGTTGACCTCCTGGTGGTCTTTCATCGGGAAAACGTAGGCAATGGCGCAGGTGACCATGGGGGCTTGAACCACCAGCCCGTGGGCAAGGACGTTCATCGGCAAAGGGATGGCGAAAAGGGAGACGTAGGAGTGGGAGACGTAGGATGATGGACCTCAGGCTTTCCGCTCCGACCCCTGCTGCCGGACCTAACAGGAGCTAGCATTGAGCGGGCGAGGAGCACGCCGTCACGCGTCCAAGAGCGTAGCCGATAGGTGTCGCCACGACTGGAACGAGGAGGTAGCCGGGCAAAAGAGCGGAACATCGATGTTGAGTGGAGTCCGCGGTCCCGGTGGTCGTCGTTGCACATGATGAGCATTTGCCTTGGCCACTTCACGGGCCTCCAATAGCTGCTGGTTATTTCTGGGCATCTGCCAGTTGCCGTCGTAGTAATCCAACGGCCTGGTAGAACTGCCTGCGACGGCCATCAGGGTCGTGGGCTTCCGTGACGCCGCTCCGCAAGTGCACCGGTCGAAGCTGACTTTCTTGACCCCGCGCTGGCAACGTGAGTGGGCCGTCTCAGGCAGCCGCCAGCTGCTCGCCATGTAGTCCCCGCTGGGTTCTATAGGATGCTCCAGCATACCTGGGATGCCGTAAGTCGCGCATGCGTACATGTGGAGCAGCTGGGCCCTGTGCAGCCTGTTCCCCATTTTGACTTGCTCCTCCTCGCGCCTGTTGAGGTATGACAGCCCCCATAGGCTAGAGGCTGACCGTAGTGGCCGTGGTGGACGTCCACGACGCTGGATGGGAGGTAGGTGCCGAGCCCTGCTCCACGTCTCACAGGGCGGGCCACATAGCACACCTCCCACTCGGCCTTCTCGCATGAGTCGTTGCCATAGCGCGTTGGCTGCCTCGTTGGTCTGGTCGCCGTATATGTTGTCGTTCGCCACGTCAAAACTCAGCATGTATACTGTGGATCCAGCAGCATGGTGCACGTTGTCAAACCGGCTCTGGATGTCACCTTCGCGCCGTCTGCCGCTGAATACATGTAGTATGTAGATGATGTCTGCTCGTGGAGGGCGGCTAACGTGGGCCACGGCGGGCGGTGGTGTGTCGATGGTGGGCAGTTCTGGCTGTTCGTCGCTGTCGCCTCGGTCCTGTAACTGGTCTCCGTCGTGATCAAGCCCAGGAAGCTGAACTTGCACGCAGGGACGTTCCGCCCTGGTCGACTGGGCGACCAGCATGGCGGTTGGCTCGCTGACAAGCCCTTAGCAGCATCTTGTTGCTGTGCTGCTCTTCTGGCGATAGTTTCTGGGGCCGCGTCGCACGCCAATGCCGTCTACGCCGCCTGACCTTCTGCAAGTTCTTGACCAAGCGATTGCGCGCGTGGAACTGCGCCCCGCACGCCACGCAGATAGTGCCGGCTGCCCGCGCTGTTGGATGAGATCCCGCTGGATGATACCTTGTCATGTGAATCCGTAGCTGCTGGGCGGAGG